TATATAACAAATATAATAAATCTGGTAGATCGGTCAAATATGACCAATATGTCATATTTGTCAGATTTGTCCAATTTATCATATCGGTCAGATCGGCCAAACATTTCAAATCACATGATTGGTTGTAGTTGATCGGTGCAGTATAGATCACGCCTTCATCCCTTGATGAAGAAAAACCTTGTTATGTTCCAAGATTAAAGGAAGAACAAGTTTTATCGATTACAAACTCAAAATTTGCTATTGGATCTTCTAATAATCAAATTAACGTAAGAATTGCTATTTGTTTTAAATATCATTTTTTTGAATTATAATTAAATAAAAATCAATAAAATTATTTTTTTAAAATAGATAATTTTAACTTCACTACAATCTTAAGCATTAAACCAGAAGATTTACCCATTTATCAAATAAATGTTATGGGAATAGCTTTAGTTTCAGATTCAGTACTTCTTACAAATCTTAACATACAATTTGAATGTATCATTTTAGATTATATAGCTAAAGATAAGCCAAATGAAATTCCAATAATAATCTTTCATCCTAATGAAAGCCGTTTGAAAAATCAAACAATGATGTTAAAACAAGGGTCTTCAATTTTTGTTTCAGGCGCTTTAAGATCAATTAAAAGAAAACTTTATTTAGAATTACATAATTTTAGTTTTTTACGTACTCAATAATAATCAAACTTTGGATCAAAATTTACAAAAGAAATGTCTTGGTCTTCTACATCATTGTCATTATCACTATCAATATCATCACCATCAACATCATCGAATACAATAATTACAAAGTCAACAATTTATAATAAGATTCAAGAGCAACAGCATTCTGTACCTGTATTAGGAAAAAGAGAAATTAAAATAAAGTTTCAGCCAACTAAATTGACAAAATTATCAGACATTGCGTCAAATGCACTTGTAGCAGCTGAAACATCAATGGAAATTTTTAAAGGAATTTCTGAAGAAACTTTTGAAGAAATTCAAGAACAAGAAGAATCAACTCCTGAAATTGTATCTGTATTAAAAAAATCTAAAGGTTATCCATCTCGCAGAAAGAAATAGTATAAAGTTTTCTTTTAATTCATTACTGTATAGTTAATAAACATTTTTTATTTTATATAATAAAGCCAATGTTGTCAATTACACAATAGTTTTTAACTTTTATTTATAAAAAAAAAAAAAAAATTTAAATTAATCAAATAATATATTTTAATGTTTTGTTAGTTTCTAAATAATAAATCATATTAATTTTTGTTCTTTTCATTTTAGATACAGTCAACTCTCTATAAATGCACCCCCTTGGAACTGAACATAAACATGCATTTATAGAGAAAGTGTATTTATAAAAACATAAAAAATTCACATAATAAAATACAATATTAATATTAGAAATATGTATATTATTTTATTAATTACTATTTATAATTATTATTTTATATAAAAATAAAATAATTACTAATCAAAGTATTGATCTATTGTAGTTTGTTGCATAAAATTTGTTTGTTTTTTCCTAATAAATTTTTCAATTACATTTACTAGCTTTATACATTCATTTGCATTTTCTTGTTGAAGTAAAAATTTATGTACAGTTTTAAACTTTTTAATGCTACTCTAGTATTAATAACTTCTGTTTCAGTACTATCATCAATTTCTTCCGGATTATTAATATTTTCATTAGAACTTTCTTTAAAAATATTTACAAGTTCTGTAATAATTTGATCATCATTAAGAATTTCATAAACAATATTTTCATTAGAAAATTAAGAAATTCTTTTACACACATTATATTAGGAAGATGAAGATTTTCAAGTTGTTCAAAAAGGTCATCAAGTATTAAATCATCAGCTTCATAAGTAATATCAAAATTAGCATTATCACAAGAATGCTAGTATATTGCTAACAATTATAAATTGTTTTAGTTGTAACATCATTCCAACTTTGAATAATAAAATGGATTGCTTGTAAAACATCTATTTTCAAATCTTGAATAAAGTTGCCAGCTTCAACTTGTTCTAATATCTATCTAAATAAAAAGAGGTAATTTATGAGACCCATTAGCATTTGTACATAAAGCAATTGAAAGCCGTTCTTTGCTTTTTTTATGTTCAGAAAGATATCTTGTAGCTAATGTCTGATCTGGATCTAATCTATAATATTATTATTTATTAATTATAATATAATAAATATTAATAATTAAAATAAAAAAAATGTAAACATACCTATAGAAAAGACCAGTCTCATCCATGTTGTAAATCTATTCAAGATGATAATGATTACATTTATCGCGTATTAATGGTAAAGCTTCTATAATAGCAGCTTAATTGGCTGATGCTGCTTCACCTTGTAATTTTATCTGATGAATTCCATTACGTTTTTTAAATCCTTGAAGCTAACCATAAGAAAACTGTAGTACATTTTCAGGAATTCCTAATCCACTTGCTAATAATTTAGCTTTTTCAGTTAATATTACATCACTCAGAATAGCTCAGTGTTGATAACTTAAAACAAACTCCTTAAGAGCAAGTTCAAGCTCTGGAAAAGTAACAGGTTTATGCCATTTTTGTTCTGGATAGGTAATTTCAGAAGTAAGTCATTTGTTTTGAGATTGTAAAATTCGCATTACTGTACTCTCATGAATTCTAATACCCCATTTTTACTTAACCCAATCTACATATTCACCTTAAGGTTTTTTATTATTACTAGCATAAGCACAAAGCTCATATTTTTGAATATTTGTTAAGGTAACTTTTTTCATAATTTGATTTTTAGTTAAAAAAAAGGGAGGAAAAAAATAAAGGGAAAAAAGCAAAAAAAATTAGAACGAGAAAAAACACGTTAAAATATATTAATTACTGATCCATTGGTTGATCAGTAAACATGATTGAGAAAATTTAAATAAAAAATGAAAATATGTCTTGTAGTATAAGACTTAACCGTGCTTTAGAAAATATAGAAAAAGAAGCATTTAATATAGACTAATTAGTGATAAGTATTTTCAGAATTCTAGAATTTTTTTTTAAAAAACTTAAATATTATTAAATAAAGTATCACTACCTTATTATTTTTTCATTTAATAAGTTGCGGTTATATTAATATTGCTATAGTCAAGGTGGTTGCCATTATGATGTTATAGTTTAAGCATTATACAGCTGAATTTTAATTTAGGTTGTGGTTAAAGTTATTACTATCATGGTTAACAGTTGTGGTTTATTGTAATTTATATAAATCTACATGTTTAAAAATACAAAATTTAATAATATTCCATGAAAATTAAAACTAAAAGAATAAATTTTTAAAAATTTGAAATACAAAAAGGTAGTTTTTTTTTCTTTTTTTTTTTATAGAACACAAAATATTTATTGTATCAATTCGTAAACTTCATCAATTAGTGCTAATTAAATCCAATCAAATTCTAATTACGCAAAATCACATGATTATATTATCAAAAATCATGTACATGCATTTAAGAAGTATATTACTAATATAGATGAGAATCAGAGATTTATTGCACAGTGTAAATATAGAGGGTATGCACTTAACTCTAAGTTCCAGCTTGGGACCAGGATAAAGTGTGCATATAAAAAGGTTATGCACTTATAGGTGGTGCATTTATAGAGAGTTGACTATAATTCAAAATATTACAGTATTTTTATTTTTTTTATTTTTCGTATTACTATATTATAAAATTAAAAAAAAACAGCCTTATCATTATTATGCTTATATAATAGTCTAAATAATATTTGTAATTAAATAATAAAAAAAAAGTTTTGTATATCAAGTCCAATAATCTGTAATTTACTAAAAATGATAAAAATAATTTCAGTTTTCAGTATGGTGACAATCATTTTTAGTTTAAAATTTTTTTTAAAATGATTTTTATTGTTTCAAACACACAACTATTATACGTATTTAGTCTATTTTTCATTTTTCCGGTTGGGTAGTGGCATTTTTTTTTTCATTTTTGCTTTTCATATTATTAATAATTATTTTATTTTGGTAAGCCTATCCTTGATTGTTATTTTTTCTTTATGTCTTATTTATTATTCATATATTTAATTAATCTTTTTTTATTTTTTGATATTTTTTCAGTTTAGACCACTTTTGGTAAGTACTTATTTTTCATTTTTCGTTGTTTTTTAGTTATTAATTTTTTTTTTAGATTATTTGGGTTCTTTGCTATAGGCCAATTTATATAAGTAGTTTTCGTTACTTTTTTTAATTGTAATTAATAATTCTTTTTTTAGATTCTTTTGAGTTCTTCATTATGAGTCACTTTGGGTAAGTATTTTTTTTATTTTTCGTTTTATTTATTTTAATTATTATTTCTTTTTTTTTGATCTTTTGAATTCTTCGCTGTGGGCTGCTTTGGGTAAGTAATTTTTTTTACTTTTCATTTTTTCATTATTTTTTGTTACTAATCCTTTTTTTTTAGATTGTTTTGGATTCTTCGCTTTAGACCATTTTGGATAAGTAGATTTTATTTTGTTGTTTTTTCATTTTTTTTAATTTTCATTTTTATTATATTATTATTTTTTTTATTTTTTTTAGATCAGTTTTTCACTTGGATGGTTTCTCGCTTCAGGTTACTTTCAGTAAGTAGGAATATTATTTTTTTTTTTAAATCACAATTATACTTTAGGCCGCTTTAGATAAGTGGATTCATTATTTTTGTTTTTAATTTATTAATTCATTTTTCTTTCTTTAGATCTTTGGTGATTCTTCGCTTCAGGTTACTTTGAGACCGCTTTGCATAAGTTGGTTTTCTTTTTTTTTTTCATCATTGATTATTAATATTTTTATTTTTTAGATCTTTCGAGCAATTTTTCATTTCATGCTTGTTTTCAGTAAGTTAAATTAGTTCTTTGAGGCAGTTTTTCATTTTGGGCTGCTTTCGGAAAGTGGGATTAGTTTTTTTTTGTTTTTTTGATATTGATTACTAATTACTTCCTTTTTTTAGATCTTTCAGCAGGTTTTCTTTTTAGACTTCTTTTGGGTAAGTAGGTTTTCTTTTTTTTTCTTTTTTTAGATCTTTAGGTGGGTTTTCACTTTAAGTAAGTAGGGATTCCATTTATTACTTTCTTTCTTTTTTGGATTTTTGGACAAGTTTTATTTCAGGATTCTTTTGAGTAAGTATTATTTCTTTTTTTTCATTTTTTGTCTTATCGTTTATTAATAATCTTTGTTTTTTTTGATCTTTCGCTTGTGGGCTGCTTCAGATAAGTGGATTTTGTTTTCAGATCTTTGAGCGAATTTTCTCTTCAGATAAGTGGGTTTTCTTTTTTTCACCCTTTCGTCTTTTGATTATTAATATTCTCATTTTTTCTTTTTTTTAGATCTTTAGGCGGGTTTTCGCTTTAGGTAAGTAGGGATTCCATTTATTACTTTCTTTCTTTTTTGAATCTTTGAGTGGGTTTTGCTTTAGGATTTTTTCGGGTAAGTGAGTATTTCTTTTTTTTATTTTTTGTCTTATCATTTATTAATAATCTTTGTTTTTTTTGATCTTTTTCTTGTAGGCGTTTTGGGTAAGTGGATTTGTTTTCAGGTCTTTAGGCGGATTTTTTTTTCAGGTAAGTAGGTTTTCTTTTTTTTACTTTTTCATTATTTGATTATTAATATGGGAGCTTTGCTATTAAAAATGGATTCTGTAGACTTTTAACAAAAAATGAGATTTTTGATTCATATTATAGTATACTAAATGAACTTTATTTGGTTAAATTTTTAGA